ACAATTTTGTTTTCAGTTAACATAGGAATTCCGTTACCTTAGGGACATCACAGCATTTTATATTGAAAAATTCACTGGGGACGCATCAAAACCCTGACTGGAAATAAATTTACTAGCAGCGTAGAACTTGCACCTGCAGATTTTAAGGGCTGCCCGGGACCCAGGGACCCGGTTTGCCGACCTCCAGCGGGGGGGGTGGGGTGGCAAGGGCGGGGCTCCCGGTGTCAAAGGTCACCCGTGAAACCCGAGCTCCCTGGGCCTCCCACGCGGTGACGTCACTGTGGAGTGTCTTTGTTCTTAAACAAAGAGCACAGGTCCACGGTGACCTCGACCCCAGACCTTCCGGCCCAGTCGGCTCCTGTCCCGGCTCCAACAAGGGGCGCTCCGCGGGGGCACTGAGTCAGCCTTCCCGGCCCAGCAGAAGAACGCGGGCGGAACGCCGAGCTGCCGGGCAGCCGCCAGAGCCGCCGCCGCGCCGGGAGGAGGTTCCGCTCGGCGCGCGCGTCCGGAGCGGACGGGTCAGCCACGTGTGTCCGGACGGCCTGTCACTCAGGCGCAGAGGCGTGGCCATGGAGAACCGTCCAATCGGAACGACAGGGGCGATTCTCGGAGAACAATCAGGGACTCCTGGGTGGGGCCCGGAGAGCTAGCCAATCAAGGAGGTGGGTCCCGAGCCCTGCCCAGTCAGGGGCACCAGAGGTGGGTCTCGGAAAAGTATCCAATCGGAGGCCCTGGGAGAGGGAGGTCCCCGAGCGCCGTCCAATCAGGCGCGGGGGCGGGCGCGCTCGCGGCCGCGTGGACGTGGCTCTGGGCCGGCCCGGGCGCTCCAGCACACCTCCCCCGCGCGGCCCCAGGTGTGCGGTGCGCGCTGCTCTCACCTGCCCGGCCCCCGGGCCCGCGGGGAGGACGCCCGGAAGCTCGGAGCCGGGCCGCGAGATGGTGAGTGCGCGCGGCCCGGGTCGAGACCGGGAGGCGCTGGTTCCAACCGGCCGGAACCGGCTTCCTGCGGCCGCGGGCCCGGGGTGGGGGGGTCCCCGCCCCCGGGGGGTCCCGACCCGAGTCTCCGCCCTCGGCCGAGGGCTCCGGGACTCTCAGTCCTGGGTCGGCTCCTCCCCGAGGACAGCCTCGGGGTGGATTGGGTGGGCGGCGGGCGAGGAGTGTGGGGAGACCTGCAGGGGTCCTGGGCTCGGGGGACCCCCTGGCAGGCCCTCGGCCCCAGGCCACCCCGACTCCGGTTATCAGTCCTGGAGCCGGGGTCCGGCTGGACGCTGGTGTTGCGGGAGAGGAGAAGCGGGTCCTGCCGCTAGGCTCTCCACCCAGGGGGCTGGTGGTGTCTCCTGCACGCACCGCGCGGGGGCCCCGGGGCCGGCGCCCTTTGTTCGGGGGACACTTCGGGGGCGCTGGGGGCGGGGGGCCCGCGCTGTCTGCCGACCGCCCGAGACCCTGGAGACACACGCCCGAGGGCGTCCCCTTGAAAAGCTGTATTCACTTAGCGGAGCCTCAGTGTTGGAGCAAATGTCCAATCCATTTAATAGATGGAGCGTGAAGGCGAAGAACTATTTTCAACGGAGTGAATTTCAGAAAAATAAGGAAATGTCTTGCGTTCCGTGTGTAAATCCCTCCCAGCGTGGAGTAAGTTTCTCAGGTCAGCTCCTTTGAGTGGGGACAAACGGAATCCCAGGGCCTACCCGTGAAAGCCCTTCTGGGGAAAAGCATGTCCCCGAAATAGAGAAAAAGTCCCTTCCGATGCGGCTTCGGAGAAACGAATCCCTTTCCCCAAAGTGTGGGAGGTCAGCTGGGAATTACAGAGATTCCTCAGTCTGTTCTTTTCCTTGGCAGCGTGGAGAATTTGTGACGCTGGGCAGTACTGTTTCCTATTATCTGTAATGCACTTTGTTTTAAGCTACAGTACATTGGCTAAAGTTCACTTATAAATAAGCACCTTTCTCATTTAGAAATCAGGTTGTCACTGTCGCGCCCTTCGGGGGCTGTGCGCTGTGATTCAAGTCTCCCCATAGACTTGGACCCATCCATTTCGGCGGTGCCTCTGTGAATCTCACCAGGGCAGGAGTGTCTTTGCTTTCAAATCCTTGCTGTGTGTGGGCAGGCTCCGCCTTGTTCTTTAGAACGTTGTGCCTGGTTTTGGACATTCATTCTTCCTATTAGGTTTGCAAAATTGGTATTTGTCTGGACCCCCCCTCCCCCGCCCCCCAAACCACACTTGGTTTATGGATTTAATGGAATTTTTTGAAGACGCTAGGTCTGTCTTGGGGGGGTGGATATCTTAGTAACAGTGAGTCCCCCCCCCCCCAAGAATGTGTGCCTTCTTTCCATTTGTTTCGTTTTGGGTATTACCCTTAATGTTTTCAAATTTTTCCTTTTGGGTTCTTTCATAGCCTTCATTTTACTTATTTAATACTAATGAAATTTGGTTTTTACCATAGTATGCATTACCTTTTTAAAAATATATCTTCCAACTTGCTGTTGCTATTAATTAGGTAATGAAAGGGCGCCTGGGTGGCTCAGTCGGTTAAGCGTTTGCCTTCCACTCAGGTCATGATCCCCGGGTCCTGGGATCGAGTCCTGCATCGGGCTCCTTGCTCAACGGGGGGTTCGCTTCTCCCTCTCCCTCTGCCGCTCCCCCTGCTTGTGCTCTGTCAAATAAATAAATAAATAAATAATCTTTTTAAAAAATTAGGTAATGAAGTTGGGTTTATACTGAAGTTTTATCCTGGATTCTTATTAAAAATCTTACTCTGTGACTGTCATTTCTGTTCCATAGGTGTCCTGTATATATAGTTTTTAGATTTAGACACAAAGGCAAGTGTTTCTTTTCTAGTATTCTACCTTTGTTTATCTCCTGGTGGTACTGATGGGCTCTCCAGTATAATGTTGACTAACAGTGAGGTGCTGGGCGTACCTGATTTCTACCTAATTGTTTTGGAGAAAACAGTGGGCTTCATACCATTTATATATTCCTTGTTCTGATTTGAACATTTTTTATTGGTTTTCCCTTATCAGGTTAAGCATGTTAGTTACCATTATTTCCCAATGGTAAGATTTTTTTATGTATGACTGTTGAATATTATAAAACGGTTTTTGGCAACTCTTAGGATGATTACAGGTAAATCATATGAATAGATTTCAGAGTTTTCTGTTGTGTAATATAGCATCAGCTCAGGAAAATGCAGATGACCGAGGTACAGCTGACAGATACCTTAAAAAATAATCCTCTGTGAAATGAAATTCAACCCTAAATGTAGAACTTTCACACTGGACACCCCACTTGGAGTGATCCCCAGGGTCAGGTCCCCTCACTCTCAAGACGTAACTAGTATGTGGAAGTATATAAAGATTTATATGTATATTTATGGTTCTGCATATTGTTATATGTGTGTACTTATATGTATTTTTGAGCAATTAGGTATCCATTTGCAGTACAATCTCAAATGGTTACTTTTCTGCTCTCCTTTACTCTGCCCTACAACCAGTCATTCCCATGTGTCAATGTCAATAACTCCGATATAGATAAATGTACATACAAACACACACATAAATATACATGTATCGCTCCTCATCCCCTTGCTGTGGCACATTTTCCATAGTACTTATATTTGGTTTGCTTATTTATTATTTTCCTCCAAGAGAATTTAAATCCACAAGGTTCGGAATTTTTCTTTTGTTCAGTGCCGGTACAAGGACCTGTGTAACTGCAACCTGAATGCATTTTACTCCACAGAAGAGCTAGAAGTCGGACCCTCAAACAGAGCAGTCCTGCATGAGACACAGGGCTTTGCTGGGAGCAGGAGCACAAGGGTGTAAGAGTGGAATGAGCTTCTCCACAGTGCCCTGCAGGCATCAGTGTATCTCCTTACCACCTCGGGAGACACCAGTCACAATAGTGGAACCACTGTGAGCTGTGTGTACAAGTGCGGGTGTTCGAGGAGTCTGTTCTGCATTCCCTCTGCTCTGAACCAGTGTGCCTGTCTACTTTGCAGAGTTCCTAGGAACACATGAGCTAATGTGCACAAAGCTTTTTGCAAAGTCTTTTGCATATTTTGGGTTCTCAATGCACATTTTTTATATAGATTTTATTTATTTATTTATTTGACAGAGAGCACAAGCAGGGGGAGTGGCAGGTAGAGGGGCAGAGGGAGAAGCAGACTCCCTGCTGAGCAGGGAGCCTGACATGGGGCTGGATCCCAGGACCCTGGGATCATGACCTGAGCTGAAGGCAGATGCTTAACCGACTGAGCCACCCAGGCGCCCCCTCAATGCACATTTAAAAAATTAATGCTGTGTTAAAGTATTTGATGGTTTCCAGCTGGGTGTGTTGGGAGTCCCTATCTCCGTCTCTTGGGGCTGCTATAACAAAAATGCCATAGACTGGGTGCTTATAAACAATACACGTTTGTCTCTCTCAGTTCTGGAGGCTGTGAAGTCAAAAGTCAAGGCCCTGGCAGATTTGGTGTCTGGTGAGGCCCTTCTTCCTGGTTCATGGACAGTGGTCTCCTCACTGTGTCCTGTGCAGGGTGGGGCCAGGGCGCTCTCTGGCATCTCTCATAAGAGCACTCGTCCCATTCACGAGGGCTGCACCCTCATGACCTAATCCCCTCCCAGAGCCCCCACCTCCCAGTACCATCACACTGAAGTTAGGGTTTAACATGAATTTTGGGGGCACACAAAAACTTTCAGTCTATAGCGGTCCTCAAGACTACCATTCAGTTCAGAGAGTCATAAGGAGGACTCCCAGGACCCAGCATGTAGTTGTGTTCACAGCTCTGATTTATTATAGCGCAAGAATACAGAGCACAGTCGGCAGAGGGGAAATGTCCTGAGGAGACCAGGTGCAGAGTTCCAAGGGTCCCCTCCACTGACATCACACAGGCTATGCTGAGTTCCCCTGGCAGCCGGGCATGACGGCACATGTGGAATGTTCTACTAGGGAAGCTAATGAGAGACTCAGCAGGTTTTTTAATGGGGGCTGGTCATGGAGACACCGTTTGCCTAGCATGGACCAGGATTCCAGACTCCCAGGAGGAAAGCTGGTCTTCAGCACAAGAAATGGTTGGCAGAAAAAGACAAGGAGCCTCTCCTAGCAGTGTGGTGGGAAGCCTCCCCAAATCCACATTCCCATGAACCAGCCAAGGGCCAACCTTAGAAGCAGGACTTTCTAAGGATAAGGACGCTGAGGCCTGTTCAGTTGGTCAACAGCACATTCCTTTGGCCCTTGGACAAGACCTCCTTAGAGCAACATTATCATCAGTAGTTCCAGCTGGGTGAGACAGGTCTGTAGTATGCCCTGTAGGGGGTCCTGGATTTGCCCAGTTCAAGTAAATCCCATTAACCAGAAAGGTAAAGGTCTTAGAATGTTAGGGGGCTTCATCGTCAAAATTTCCATATTTTTTTTCTGTATTCTTTCCCACCTGGCCTCAGGTGTCCGTTCCTGTAGGTTGCTGCTGACCTGAGTGTCTCCCGGTGATAAGATGGTGTCCTGATGGGACGTGCATGAGGCAGCCCAGTCAGCAGGCCCCCAGCAGGCTGATTTTAAGTAATTCGGTCTGGTCCTTGTTCGGAGGGACTGCCTGCCCACATCACTAGCTTGTCCACCTCGCCAGTGTGGATGGTGTCTGGGGGTGATCTGCGTGGAAAGAAACAGACGTGAAGGGCTTGATTTCAGATGGTCTTATCGGAGAACGAGGCCTTCCTCACTGGCAACTGTAAGTGACCCAGACGGACCACCCCAAGGTTTTCATAGCTTAGGACCTTGGGGAAGTGTCCTAAACCTTCAGTATTCCCAGAGTCAGAGCTTTGTGGAGCTGATACCTGCTTCTGGATCAGTATGGTGTGTGCTAAGGCTGAAGCCTCCTGTTGTGGACACAGTGGAATGTGAGCTTGTGGTCAAGTTCAGGCAGTTCAGAATTCAGCATTCCCCAAATCACTAGGGGCCTTTCTTAGCAGCAGCAAAGCCGAGAAACTGCAGGGTCAGAAAGTTGTGTTCCAAGGTGCAGGGATGACCTTCCCCAGCCCCCGCTGTCTTGCGTCTGAATCCACAAGAGCCACTGCTGGGCAGTCGTCAGTCTGACGGTCATCAGAAATAGGGTTTCGTAAGAGCCCTCCGACGAGCTGACGACTTGCACTTAAAATTCCCAAAGTGTATCTCCGGGTAGAGATTGCCTGTCTCTTCACTGTTTCCCTCTTGTTTTGAACCTCCAGTAGGTAAAAACTCAGTAAAAAATCATGTGTTACAGAGACCTAAACTCGTTTCTAGGACTTAGAGTGTAACTTCCACTCCCTGCACCAGTGGCAACAAACAAGGGGGTCGTGTCCTGTCAGCACTTTTTTCTCTGCACTGATGGGGACGGCCCCTCTGGTGTTGAATGAGATGACACGCGCATCCGCCTGCGTCAGCTTTTATCTTAGGTGCAGGTGCAGTAACGAAGCAGAACCATTTTAAGTAAAAGATCCCCTTCCCCTTTTTTCCTCATCACAATTTTTAAGAAGATTTCATTTGTTTATTTAAGAGAGAGTGAGACAGCACAAGCAGGGGGGAGGGGCAGAGGGAGAGGGAGAAGCAGGCTTCCCGCTGAGCAGGGAGCCCGACGCGGGGCTCGATCCCAGGACCCTGGATCATGACCTGAGCCAAAGGCAGATGCCTAACCAACTGAGCCACCCAGGCGCCCCTCATCACAAATTCATTCAAAGCCTGTGTTACTTTGGTAGGGTTCCCATAACAAATTGCCGTAAGCTGGGCAGCTTAAAAACGTATTCTGTTAGCGTTCAGGAGGCGAGAAGTCCAGAAGCAAGGTGGCGGGAGGTTTGTGCGTCTGCGCCTTGTGTCTCGCAGCTTCTGGTGGCCCCCGGCGTTCTGCTTATGATGGTGGAATTCCATCTCTGCATCCCATCTTTATGTGGCCACCTTCCCCACGTGTCTCCGGCTTCACATGGCATTTTCCTCTTAGAAGGCCACCAGTCGGCTTGGATTGGGGCCTTTCCTAAAGGCCTCGTCTTAACTTGGTTACACTTGCAAAGATCCTGTTTCCAAGTAAGGTCACATTCGTAGGTCTGGAGGGTTAGGATTTCCACATACCTTTTTGGGAGACACAGTTTGAGCCACAGGGAGCCCTAGTAGTAAATCAGCGTTTACAGGGGTAACATTACAGCTGCCAGGGAAGGTGCTGGGTCGAAGGCGCGTGTGGGTCAGGAGGCTGTGGCAGCCCAGTAGCAACGAGGTAAGAAGAAAGGATAGAGGGGCGCCTGGGTGGCTCAGTTGGTTAAGCGACTGCCTTCGGCTCAGGTCATGATCCTGGAGTCCCGGGATCCAGTCCCGCATCGGGCTCCCTGCTCGGTGGGGAGCCTGCTTCTCCCTCTGACCCTCCTCCCTCTCGTGCTCTCTCTCTCTCTCTCTCATTCTCTCTCCCTTAAATAAATAAATAAAATCTTAAAAAAAAAAAAAGGGTAGAGGATCCCTGCCCACTAGGCCCTTGGTTTATTGAAAGTTTTGCTCCAGCTCTAGACGCTGATTTAACTATTTTTTTCTCCCAGTGCAATGCAAACTTTTCAAATTTTTCTTGCCCATCCATAGTTTACCTTGGTAACTTGGGGGCTCTTTCTCCTCGTGCCTGGAGGAGTGAACAAAAATCAAAGACCTCACCGAAGCTGTGCTTTGTTTTTCTTTTCTCCCTCAGAGAGCGTGGCCAGAAGCAGCCAGTCTGTCTGGCACACCAGGCCTCCTGGAGCTGGACCCGCCATTTTTACCTCTTTTTTTTAAGATTTTTTTAAATTTATTCTTTTGAGACACAGAGGGAGGGGGAGAAGCAGGCCCCCCGCGGAGCAGGGAGTCCAATGCGGGGCTTGATCCCAGGACCCCGGGATCATGACCTGAGCTGAAGGCAGATGCTTAACCATCTGAGCCACCCAGGTGCCCCCCCCCCCATTTTCACCTCTTGTCAGCTCTTGCTTCACAGCTCAGCTGCTCGTCCACATCACAGACACACGACTGAGCCCCCTGGACTCCAGAGCTTTGCCGTCTCCCCGGTCCCCCTCCTCTTCCCAAACAGTGCTTTTGCTATATTTCAGTGAGTCAGGGGTGTTCTAGCAAATTCCACCTCTGATGCCAACTGTGACTGGTATCTCCCAAGACCACTCTTGTGTCCTGCTAGTCAGACCCCCACAACTTAGCTTATAGTTTTACTCATGACTGTGATCTGTCACAACAAAAGGACACCTAGCAAAATTAGCAGAGGGAACAGGCATATGGGGAGAAGTCTGAGGGAAACCAAGTGCAGGTTTTTAAGAGTTCTTTCCTGGCAGAGCCACCCAGCGTGCATCCAGCAACAAGTCATGGCAACACATGGAATATTGTCTACCAGGGAGACTCAGCAGAGACTCAGTGCCCGGGGTTTCTGCTCCAGACTCCCAGAAAGAAGGCGGGTTCAGTATTAACAATGTCATGGGCACAGTGGTTTAGCCACAGTGGGTAATATCAGTCAGGGTGGTGGGAAGCCTGAAACCCAGTCTCCCAGACACCAGCCTTGCTGGGAGGTGTGTCTAAGGATAAGGCTGAAAGTGACGCTTTCTGCACACTAGGTGTGGGGGTTCACTGGAAGAAGCACTACAGATAACGAAGAACACTTCAGCTGACTTGGGAACCTCCCGTTGGTCCCCATTCCAGTAATAGGGGTTTTCCTGTTACTCTGCTACCCTGTTGAATAGGTAAATTCTGGCATCAGAATCGTTGAATGAGTATTTTCTCGTGCTCATGGATGTCTGGGTTGAGGAACTTTTAAAAAAAATCCAGGTTTAAGGGAAGCATGCAGCTCAGTGGTTCCTGTGCTCTGGGGGAGGGGGGCTGACATGCTCATGTGCCCAACAGGGACACGTAGGGCCATGGAAAGAGAAATTGAGAGTACGACCTGAAGGATGATGTTGGGGAACCGCTTCTACCTGGAACTTGATATGAGGGAGGGTTTCCTTTGTAGGAGGGCACTGCCTAATCCTTTATGTATTTTATAATCTTGGGCAAACTCACTGTCAGATATTTTTGACTTCAGTTAACTCCTTTGCAGGGTGGGACTTTTAACCTTATCCTCAAGGTCAGCAAGAATACTCTACCGTGGTTCTGGTGGAAAGAGCTGTTTTGTCGTCATATTACATTTGCCCCGTGTGTGTGTGTGTGTGTGTATGGGTTTGTGTAGGGCAGGTGCACTGAGACTCAGGAGTGCAAGGAACGCACCGAGTTCTCACGTCGGTGTCCTCTTTCCTGAGCTCTGACTTCTCGATAACTTTCTGTCACATTCCTGTATTACACAAACATATTAACAAGACTTCTCCAAAGGACTTTTATCATTTAGCCAGCAGAAACAGTCTACTTATGGCCTGGAGTTCTTTAAGATGATATGGTTAGCTGGCCCCTGCTGCAGGTGGATTCCAGTAAGCCTCTTGGGTCTGGTGAGGGGAATGGAAGGAAAAGTTCCCAGTCCTTCAGTATGTGCTTATTTCATAAAACCTCACCCGGGTTTGACCAGATTCTTGATGTGGTGTTTAGTGATGTGGCGCATAATAGGGAAGGAGCCAAAGTAGTTTGTGTCACAAGGGATCGGTGGGTCTTAAAATGCAAATATTTGTTTTGTTTGTAGAGCATTTCTGTGAATTCTCCAATGCGGTCTGAACCCTTTGGTAAAAGAAAATTGAGACTTGATTTGGTTGCAGTAAACGTGTAAAGATCGGTTCAGTGTGTGGTGGAGCTATTAAATTTGTGAGGATGTAAGTGTGGACAGAGTAAGAGTCATAGAGTAGAGGTTAGGTGACCACAGAGTCTTGTCTGAATTTCCTGTGAATCGAATCCAGTTACTCAGTGAGTCTCAACTTTCCTTCTGCACATCCGTTGGGTGTTGTAGGACTCAGTGGTCTTTGAGGATGTGGCCGTGGACTTCACCTTGGAGGAGTGGGCTTTGCTGGATTCTGCTCAGAGGGAACTGTACAGAGAAGTGATGCTGGAAAACTTGAAAAACCTGGCCTCAGTGGGTAAGAATGACCTCATTCCTTCACTTAGTCTTTTAGAGAACAAGCATTTCTTGCACATCAAGACTGTTCCCAGATTTGGATTGTGGAAAGGGAATACATTATTAGTAAGACCGACAGGGTCACAACCACCATAGAGCTAGAATCGAATAGTTTCTGCATGAGAAGGAGAATCTCTGCATTAAACTTATTGTTACTTTTTTAATCTCTACTGCTCCCTGTGTGTCATCAGTGAATATAGATTTCATGGGTCATTAAGGAGCCCAGTGACGTTTATGTAATCTTGTGAGAATTCTGTGTTTACTAAATTGCTTACCACCTTGACCCCTTGTACTTGTTATTGGTGAAGTCTTGACCCAGCTAAACTCCTCAGTGTCATTTTGACCAACACGTACCTTCTTTCTTTAAAACTTGTTCCCTTTTTGCTTTCAGATGATGAGACTCAATTTAAGGCCAGTGGGTCAATTTCTCAGCAGGATGTTTATGGGAATAAAATATCCAAGGAACATAAAATAGCAAAGTTCACCAGAAATGATTCCTGGGCCTCTGTTTTAGGGGAAATTTGGGAAGAATTTAGCACTGAAGATCAGCACACAAAGCAGGGGAGACATCTGAGGTGAGTTGTACTCACAAGAGAAAGCAGTGTTCCAGGGGAGAATCTTAGTATGTCATGAAATTGAAAAAGCAAAGCAAAGCAAACACCCATAGGAGCCTAGATCACTTTTGTTTATTCCCTGAGAATTTTTACAGAAAGATTTCCTTAAATATGTTGAGTGTTAAAAACATAATTCAGTTGAAAACAATTAGGAGGAAAAGCCACATTTAAGAAACACCATTTTCATTATTCCTGTGGTTGAATTCCCTTCCATGATACTCAGTTTATTCTGCTTTGTCAGATAGGGTAGAAAGCCTACACAGTCACTGAAATTGACGAAAATGTAATCCTAATACTTACTAGTAAAATAGTGAGAAATCATCAATCAAACCATTGATGATAACATGCTTCTCATTCTTCACAGAAATCATGTGGTGGAGAAACTCTCTGAAAGTAATGATCAGTGTGGGGAAGGCTCCAGTCAGATTTCAAATCGTAGTCTGTACCAGAAAACTCATACTGGAGTAAAAGAGTATGGATGTAGTGCATATGGAAAGGTCTTTGTGCCTCATTCCTCGCTCAAGAGTCACCTTGCCGCACACACTGGGTACAAACCGTATCAGTGTCAGGAGTGTGGGCGGGCCTATAGTTGTCGGTCACAACTGCGAATGCATGTGAGGACCCACAACGGAGAGAGAACCTATGCGTGTAAACTATGTGGAAAAACCTTTCCTCGTACTTCATCCCTCAACCGGCATATAAGGATCCATACTGCCGAGAAGACTTACGAATGTCAGCAGTGTGGGAAAGCCTTCATTGATTTTTCAAGTCTTACTAGTCATGTGAGAACTCACACTGGAGAGAAGCCCTATAAATGTAAAGAATGTGGGAAAGCCTTCAGTTATTCCTCAACTTTTCGAAGACACATGATAACACACACTGGAGAGAAGCCCTATAAGTGTCAGGAATGTGGGGAAGCCTTCAGCTATTCCTCAACGTTTCGAAGACACATGATCTCACACACTGGGGAGACACCACATAAATGTAAGGAATGTGGAGAAGCCTTTAGTTATTCCTCAGCTTTTCGAAGGCACATGATAACACACACTGGAGAGAAGCCCTATGAATGTAAACAGTGTGGGAAAACCTTCATTTACTTGCAGTCCTTCCGGAGACATGAAAGGATTCACACTGGAGAGAAACCCTATGAATGCAAACAATGTGGGAAAACCTTCATTTACCCACAGTCCTTCCGAAGACATGAGAGGACTCATGGTGGAGAGAAACCCTACGAATGTAGCCAGTGTGGGAAAACATTCAGCCATCCCTCATCCTTTCGAGGACACATGAGAGTGCACACTGGAGAGAAACCTTACGAATGCAATCAGTGTGGAAAAACTTTCAACTGGCCCATATCCTTGAGAAGACATATGAGGACACACATGAGAGAGAAACCATATGAATGCAAACAGTGTGGGAAAGCCTTCAATTTGTCTGCTTGCTTTCGGGAACACGTGAGAATGCATCCTGGAGAGAAATCGTATCAATGCAAGCTATGTGGGAAAGCGTTCTATTGCCACATATCCTTACAAAAACATATGAGAAGGCACACCGCAGAGAAACTCTACGAATGCAAGCAATGCGGCAAGGCTTTCAGTTGGCCTGAACTTTTACAACAGCATGTGAGGACACACACTGCAGAGAAACCCTATGAGTGTAAGGAATGTGGGAAAGTCTTCAAGTGGCCATCGTCTTTGCCGATACATATGCGAGTGCACACTGGAGAGAAACCTTATGACTGTAAGGAGTGTGGGAGGGCCTTCAGTTGTTCCTCGTCCTTAAGAAGACATGTACGAATACACACCACAGACAGACACTGCCTAGGGGATGCGGGAAATTCTCCTGCAAAGGAATTCATGCCTCATGTGTCAGGAAATCCACACCAGGAGAGAAATCTTATCAAAGCTGTAAATATGGTACTGCCTTTGTGAGTACCTCATCAAAGTGGACCTTTGGGGTGTGTATCTCCAGTTCTGTTACAGATAGCTCTCCAAGTACTCTTTCAGCTGTCATTCAAGTTTTGCAGGTGGTGTTTTTTCCCTACATTTCCATAAATAAACCTGCTGTCTTTATGGTTTGTTGGACTCATGGTGATTTGAAGTGTATTTTTAATATGTAGGTAAGTTTTAATTTCTTTGAATTCTTGAAGGGGTTTTTGGAACAATAGCATTTTGGTATTTGTTGGGATTTTCTTACTAGCTTCGTGTGGCAGATACTGGATATTACCCATTATATGTTTTCTGCCTTACTGAGAATCTATTTATTTTGGCCAGAGGAACCTTACTGCATTTTCTTTACAAATAGTTTGCAGACATTTGTAATTGTGCAGAGTTCTTGAAAAGCATAGTCTCGTGTGAATTGTCATTTTCAACCCTTTCCCTTTGCTCTTTGTCCTTGCTTGTGACTGGAAATTGGACAGTAGGCTTTTACTGAAAAGCTACTTTGTGACCATGAGCTATAGGATACGGAGTTTGAGGTGGTTCCTCTACATTGTGTTGTCAATGTGGGTAATGTTGGGAACTACATTTCCCTTCCCTTTATGATTATGTGGTCAAATTTACCAGTAGCCTAACTTGGCATGAGATTTGGAAGGCAGAAATGAAGAAGCCATTTCTGTGTTTGGAGCCATGTTAAAGTATGAGAGATGCAAAGGGGCTTTTGGACATCAGCCCGTTTTCCTGATCTTGGCCCTGCCAATCAAGGGTATCATGAAAAAAAATGCCACGTGCTTGATTCCCATTTTCCTCAGAGTTTTGTAGGCTTCCATGAATATCTCCATGAGCTATGTATCAAGGATCCACTTGTGTGGTCTTGCACTCACAATTTGGATATTCCTACCAATTCTGATGTGTTCTCTAGACCACTCATGCAGACTCACATTCAGTGATCTTCTCTGATGCTGTGATTCCCCTCTTCTCTAGATTTTCACATATGTGTATAAGGTCTAATTTGTCTAGTGAACACCTTATTTTCAATACTTCTAGTGACTCTGTGATCCGGATTCTGCCACAAAAGCTACAGTGCTACTTACTACAAAGCAAAACAACACATGGGACTTTGTTGACCTATTGCATTTTAAAGTGTGCTCAATTCAGTCCTGTGTAACAGAAAGCACCTTCATGTATTAGATTTTGGGAGAGCTCAGTGTTGTTACTTGATATGGGCTTCACTGTTATGTTTATGTGTCATTAAAAACAGTATGTATTTTATCTTCAAGGACAGTCTTTTATAGATATTTCTTAGAAATACACTATTCACTGTGTTTTCACATCACTTGTATATTTACTGTATTTCCTAAGGATTGCTGTAACAAAGGACCACAACTGAGTGGCTTAAGGCAACAGAAATTTTGGCCTGACAATTCTGAAGGTAGAAGTCCAAAATCAAAGTATTGGCCAGCCCCTGCTTCCTCTGAAGATGCGAGGGAAGGATCTGTTCCAGCCCTCTCCTAGCTTCTGGTAGTTCATTGGCTTGAGGCAATGTAACTAATCTTCCCACTGCATTCTGCATGCATGCGTGTTTATCTCTTTGTGTGGCATTCTTTTTATAAGGACCACACATAACAAGTTAGGGCTCACCCTATCCCAGTATCTCCGCCTCTAATTATATCTGTGACAACACTATTTCTAAATAAGGTCACGTTCTAAGGTACTGGGGCTAGGACTTCAACATTCAAATTTTGGTGGACAATACAACCCATAACACTACCAAATGTTACTCTCTTTGTCATGTACTGAGAGAATAGATTAAAATATTTCGTTGCAATTATGGATTCCAAATCAACTGTGATTTTGTTAAGCATTATACATTCCGAGTCAGTATTTTCAGGTGTATACAACTTAAGGTATTTTGTCATGTAAATTTCATTTTTTATTGTTACATACACATTTGTTATTTTTTTTAAAGATTTTATTGAGAGAGAGAATGAGAGAGAGCATGAGATGGGGGAGGGTCAAAGGGAGAAGCAGACTCCCCACCACGCAGGGAGCCCGATGCGGGACTCAATCCCGGGACTCCAGCATCATGACCCAAGCCGAAGGCAGTCACCCAACCAACTGAGCCACCCAAGTGCTGTACATACACATTTGTTATTAAACTGATTTCTTAATCCTTGTTAATAAAATCGCAAATAATTGTTTTGCCAAATCTCTCTAACCCACACCACTGGGAACGCACTTGTCAATGAAAATTGGGTGCCATGAATTCAAGCAATTTGAGGGAACACATGAAGGACAGTGGGATATAGCAGGCAGAGGGTGTTTGGAAGGATATATTTTTAGATTTGGGTTTGTGTTTGGTGATTGTAGAAGGCAGAAATAATTGAATTTAGCTAACTAAAACAAATGGGTAAAGCAGCAGTCATTGAGAAGACGGGGTTTTTAAAAAGATTTTATTTATTTGAGAGAGAGTACAAGTTGGCATAGGGGGAGAGGGACAAGCAGACTCCATGCTGAGTGCAGAGCCCAGTGCAGGGCTTGATCCCACAACCCCCAAGATGATGACCTGCGCCAAAACCAAGAGTTGGACATTCAACTGACTGAGCCACCCAGGCAGCCTGGGAAGAGGGGCATTTAAAAAAAATTTTTTAAATTTAAATTCAATTTAGTTAACATATAGTGTATTATTAGTTTCAGGGGTAGAATTTAGTGATTCATCAGTTGGATATAACACCCGGTACTCATTACATCAAGCGCCCTCCTTAATGCCCATCACCCAATACCCCATCCCTCCTGAGGAGGGGAATTATTTGGAAAGTTTTTATTTTAATTCTGGTAGTTTACATACAGTGTTATGTTAGTTTCAGGTGTACAGTGTGGTGATTCAGCACTTCATACATTACCCTGTGCTCATCACAAGTGCACTTCTTTATCCCCATCACCTATTTAACTCATTCCCCCCCATCCCTTCCCCTCTGGTAACCAGCAGTTTTCCATAATTAAGAGTGTGTTTCTTGATTTCTCTCTCTTTTTCCCCTTTTGCTGGTTTTGTTTCCTAAATTCCACCTATGAGTGAAACCCTATGGTATTTATCTTTCTCTAACTTATTTCACTTAGCATAATACTCTCTAGCTCCAATCTTGTTGCAAATGGCAAGATTTCATTCTTTTTTTATGGCTGAATAACCCATTGTGTGTGTGTGTGTATGTGTGTGTACACACCATATCTTCTTTTTTCCATTCATCAATCAGTAGATACTTAGGCTGCTTCCATATCTTGGCTATTGTAAATAATGCTGCTATAAACATAGGGGTACATGTATCCATTTGAATTAGTATTTTTGTATTCTTCGGGTAAATATCCAGTAATGTGATTGCTGGTCCATAAGGTAATTCTGTTTTTAACTTTTTGAGGAATCTCCATACTCTTTTCCACAGTGGCTGCACCAGTTTGCATTCCCACCACCAGTGCAGGAGTGTTCCTTTTTCTTCACATCCTCACCAACACTTGTTCTTTGTGTTTTTGATTTTAGCCATTCTGACAGGTGTGAGGTGGTATCTCATTGTAGTTTTTGATTTGCATTCCCCTAGTGATAAGTGATGAACATATTTTCATATCTGTTGCCCATCTGTCTTCTTTGGAGAAATGTCTGTTCATGTTTTCTGCCCATTTTTAAATTGGATTATTTTTGACTGTTGAGTTTTATATGTTCTTTATATATTTCAGATACTAATCCTTTATTGGCTATGTCATTTACAAATATCTTCTGTCATTCCATAGGTTGTCTTTTAGTTTTGTTGATTGTTTTCTTCACTGTGCAGAAGCTTTTAATTTTGATGTAGCCCCAATAGTTTATTTTTGTTTTTGTTTCCCTTGCCTCCGGAGACATATCTAGAAAAATGTTGCTAGGGCCAATGTCAAAGAGATTACTGCCTATGTTCTTCTAGGGTTTTTATGGTTTCAGGTCTCACATTTAGGTCTTTAATCCATTTTGAATTTATTTGTACGGTGTAAGAAAGTGGTCCAGGTTCTTTCTTTTGCATGTTGCTGTCCAGTTTTCCCAATACCATTTGTTGAAGAGACCATCTTTTTCTCATTGGATATTCTTTCCTGCTTTGTCAAAGATTAGTTGGCCATATAGCTGTGAATCCATTTTTGGGCTATTTTGTTCCATTGATCTATGTGTCTATTTTTGTGCCAGTACCGTACTGTTTTGATTACTACAGCTTTGTAATATAACTTGAAGTCTGGAATTGTGATGCCTCCAGCTTTGCTTCTCTTTTTCAAGATTGCTTTGGCTATTCAGGGTCTTTTGCAGTTCCATTCAAATTTTAGGATTGTTTGTCCTAGTTCTGTGTAAAATGTTGGTGGCATTTTGATAAGGATTGCATTAAATGTGTAGATTACTTTGGGCAGTATAGACATTTAACAATTATTCCAGTCCATGAGCATGGTCTTTCCATTTCTTTGTCATCTTCAATTTCTTTCATCAGCATTTTATAGTTTTCAGAGTACAGGTCTTTCACCTCTTTGATTAGGTTTATTCCTAAGTAACTTGTTATTTTTTGGTGCAATTGTAAATGGGATTGTATTCTTATTTCTCTTTCTGCTGCTTCATTAATGTGTATGGAAATGCAACAGATTTCTGTACATTGATTTTAAGTCCTTTAACTTTACTGAATTTTTTTTTATCAGTTCTAGCAGTTTTTTGGTGGAGCCTTTTGGGTTTTCTATGTATAGTATCATGTCATCTGCAAATAGTGAAAATCTTACTTTGAGAAGAGTGGAATGTTTAATGTGATTTGATAATCATTTGTATCTCATTTTACCCTCCCACCCCATTAGTCCCTCCTCTCACACAGATGAAGACAGTTAAACACAGGGAGCACAGAGTTGCCCAAACTCATGTAGGTCTTAAAAATGGAAAGCCAGGTTTAAAGGTTATCTGTGCTTAGTCTTTGCTGGGAATTGTCACAAGTATAGAACACTGGAAGGCAGGTGTAATTGCTGAGTTTTAGAAATATGGCATCAAATTTTACAAAAAAGACTCCTAAAGCTATACAGGCATTCCTTTTATAAGACATGAAAAAGACAGCTATAGGGATCTAAGATCACTGGCTAGGAATGGGGGATTTGAGA